GTGGTCCTTAATTGTGCCCAAATAAGCTGAAACCTTCGGTCCGTAAATTTCTAATGAGTTAGCGACACTAATTTGAGTGGCCAGGTTACTGCTGCCATCTCTACTTCCTGCAGTAACGATGGGAATGGCGGACTTGGAAAGATCTTCTAAATTGAGCGGAATGAAGGGAAAAACCACTGTTGTCATCGCCGTGGCTAGTTCGCCTTGATAGAGTGATGTCATAATTATCGCGCAGAGAAGGAAACACCCCACTGTCCAGATGGCTTTAGCTCCCCATTTTCCGACGAACGGGCCTACTCTTGCGCTTCCTTGCAACACTAGGATGGAGTAGATTAACCAGAAATCTTGTAGGAGAGCCGTTCCCCGTAGAAAGCGGACTTCTTGCCTACATTTGGCGGCATAGATGAGTAAACCTACTATAGCACATGTGAACAGGACTGTCAACCAAGTTTCAAGTGGAAAAGGTTCGATGAGAGCTTGAAACCCTTTAAGGGACCTTGGTTTCGGTATTATGATATAAAAGTTGAATGGGATTTTAGTGCTAGGATAATAAACAACTTCATAATAATCACCATGTATAAATCTGTCCATATATATTTTAAAGCATTCCTCTATATGAAATAGGTGAGCATCTCTGTTAAACTTAACGGAGGCGAATGTAAAATTTCGTCGTTCAGCGATACCCAAAATGTTACAGTGGGTGGTGTGGTAAAATGTGTCGCTGCATTTATCATGATCTGGCTGCGATAGGAGATTGAAAAAGTGAGCGACTGGAATTGGCTTACGTTGAAAATTTCCATTGCAAGAGTTCCACACGGTATCAAATTCTGGTAGAGTTGTCGAGTCGAGAATCAGGTAGGAATTAGATGGAATGCAAACCGTGGTGAGAATTGGAGAAGATGGATTAGTGATTAGGACTTTTAGCGTGAATGGGAGCAATCCTAGCCCGGTGGGATATAGAACCAATTCCATTATAAGCTGTGGCCCAATTTCAAGTACCACACCCTTCACTCGGCTGAGTTTGTTCAGTAATTTGGCCACAACATTAGTTCTAACTGTCCGATTTTTATAATTTTCGCTCTCTTATAAAGCTAAACACATTATTTATCAGAAAAAATAATGCAAGTGGCGAAAAAAATTTGTACCGTTAGTGGCACTCCACTAATAAAATAACGTCTATTTTTGAAGTGTCCAGAAATAACGTATCAAAATGAGATGAATCGCCCATATTTGAAGACAAACCTTGTATATGCAGACGCAGAGTATACTCGTCAACATATTAAGAACAAATTAATATAAATTTATTTGGAAAAAGTGGCAGTTCTCTCCGACAAACCGTTAAGAATCTAAACGAGATAAAACGGTACCGAAAAAAACAAATAACTGCGAGCCATGCAACAGTTTCACCCAATGTCAAAAGTCAAATTTTGGGTAATACAGGTTCCCCAATTCATGCTAGACACTTTTCCAGTCACAAAATGAACAGAGACATTCAAAATATGGTAAAAACAGTTAAAAAATGGGCTTTTTGGACAGTGGGAGAAAAATGCTGGTATGTCGTATTCCCCAAAGAAATATCGACTGAACTTAACCCTGTATGAAACTAGACAAATAGTTGATATCATACAGTAAAGCGAGAAAATGTGCCTGGAATTGTGACCACGGAACACGGACTCAAAGTTATGGTACCTGGGAAATTTTGCACGCGTGGCGTCACTAGCCACATTTAGCAGAAGGCACGTCGGTGAACGCTGAATATGGCAATGAGAAAATTCTTTTTTTTTGTATTTCGAATCCCTAGTGGACATATATTTATTTCCAAACAAAAAAAGAAATTATTTTCATCAGGATGGGGCTACACCCACACGGCAAGAAATGCCACCACATTTTTGGAGCAGCATAGTTGCGATGGCTGAGAAAAGGGGGTGTGGCCTGGAAATAGCTCCGACTTCAATCCTATCGAAAATTTATAGTCTGTACTACAGTAATCGGCATCAAAAACTCCAAAGTCTACTACAAGACGATAATTAATCACAAGATTCCAAAAAGAAAGAAAGTTACTTCCGGTTTTTTCGTTAAAAAATCAAGCGTGGTCACTCCCCAAATGAATGAATTCAATGTTTGAGGCTAACGGGTGATTGGCCATATGTTAGTTAGTATTGACAAAAAATTTCATCAAAATAGGTTCAGAACTTTTAAATTTATGACTATATGAAATTTCGTAAAGTACATGTGGTACTTGAAATAGGGCCACAGCTTAGGATAGAAAAGAAAATATTCTGGGGGGATGGTCTTCTGCTGATAAAAACGAGACAACTTCCAGGTAAAAGCATTTAACTGATTTTGGAACGAATCGATGATGAGTACTGTGAGCCATGGTTTCCTTAGTCGGGAAAGGGAGAAAGGTTCGGGAAATTTGAGAGTGAAAGCGAGCGGGACAACATTCAGAAGGAATGGAGAGTTTGGAAAGTGCAGTTTGAACTTGTGATACGCTGGAGAGATTAGGAATTCAGTAGAGGCGACGAGATCAATTGTGCCGGATTCGAACCAAAGTCCAATTCTGGGCATGACGGGTAGTGGATTGGATGTTGCGATGGTTGGGGAAAATAAGAATACTAAATACAGAATAGGATACATGAGGGAGTTATATTGATAGTAATATTTTGGAAACTTATGATTCTTTTAGAAATTAATTTAAAAGGTTTGCTAGTGTGGAGTTGTGATGGCGAAGGTTCGTGACAGAATGGTTGTCGTGTCAAATATTTGGAGGCCTTCTAAAGTAATTAAAGTGAAATTCATATATGTACATGGCAACTAGGAAGGTAAGCACCAAATAGATGGATTAATGTTATTTAAGGCCGGATTGTACTACTGTATGTACTTTGTGGGGTGGCCGAACTACTCATAAATAGACCCATGAAACATAGAATATCATTCTGATATCTTCCACATGTCATTTTAAGACGTCGACTGATATCTAGTTAAGGATATCACATTGATGTCCATAGGATATCTATAGCAGACATGTGTGACGTCATGATATCCTAAATGTGTCACTTAACTGACTTGCTGATGATATCATTAAAAAGACAAACTAATGATATCAGAATCACATCTTCAGCTGATATCAGATTTATGACGTGTTTCTGACATCAAAACAACCCAACTTTGTAATCGGGTGCGGGGTATTGCACCATTCCAATTAATTTTTCTGTAGTAGATAATATTCTATATTTCCGGTCTCATTAATAATGCGAAAAACCGTTGTAGGAAAGAGACGTATATTACAACGTGCTAAACAAGAATTTAAAAAAGTATCCATTAATACATTTCGCCAACCGCCACCCCCCACTTTAATACAACCCGCCATAGTTTTAGAATATCATGGAGGTCAGGAAACATATAATATTTCTGGTTCAAGTGCTTCTGAAAGTTTCGACGACATTACTCCTGAATTTAGTAGTGATGATAGTGATCAAGCGGAAGTAATTCAACGACCCCCAGATGCGAGTGCTACATCAATTTTGGAGAATTTGAAATCGTTGGCATTCGAACACTCTGTGAATCACACTCAACTAACAGCGCTTTTGAAAATTTTAAAGGTTCACGATTGTTTTTCTATATTCCCAGCTGATAGCAGAACACTTATTAAACAATTAGATATTTGTGTACCTACCGAAATAGTTCCACCGGGTGAATATGTGCATTTTGGGTTAACTCCTTATGTCAGACAAATACTTCAACTTCGCCCAAATTTAACCAGTTTACAACTACAAGTAAATATTGATGGACTCCAAATTTATAAAAGTTGCCAATTAGCATTTTGGCCAATTCTAGGATATTTTTGTGGATTAGAATGTAAGCCATTTGTAATCGGAGCGTACTGTGGTAGCAAGAAACCTGAAAGTGTTGACAATTACCTTCAAAAGTTTATTCGTGAGCTAATTGAACTGATTCATACAAGTTGTAAATTAGAAGTACAGTGTGCGATGCTCCAGCAAAATCATTCATTAAAGCGATTAAAGGACATAATGGATATCATGGCTGTGATAAGTGTTACGTGGTGGGAAAGAGTATTAATCGTCGAATGAGTTATTTCGATACTAATAAGGCCTTGCGGAGCGATTCTGACTTCCGAAACCTCAAAGACACAGACCATCATACTTCCACAACATGCTTGACAGAAATTTCAAGATTTGACATGATAAATGGCTTCCCAATCGACTATATGCATCTTGTCTGCCTTGGAGTTGTAAAAAAGCTACTTAAATTATGGACTACCGGAAAGCCTAAAGATCAAAAACTTTCAAGTTTTCAAATATCAAAAATTTCAGAAAAACTAAAGGAGAGTCGTAAATTTACTCCATCTGAATTTTCAAGAAAACCGAGGCCACTGGAAGAAATTGATAGATGGAAAGCAACGGAATTCAGACATTTTCTGCTGTACACGGGTCCGACCATATTAAAGAAAATAATTTCCAGTGACAACTACAGACTATTTTTAAGCTTATCGATTGCTATCCGTATCTTATGCTCATCGGAACTTCATGTCAGCCACAATAGCTATGCAAAATCATTACTAGTATATTTTGTGCAAGGTTTTAAATCGATATATGGTGAAGATAGGGTTTCATATAATATTCATGGACTTGTTCACTTGACGGAAGATGTAAAAAGGTTTGGAATCTTGGATAAGTTCAGTGCATTTAAATTTGAGAACAAGTTGGGATCTTTAAGAAAACTTGTTCGTACTCCCAATTTACCCCTACAACAGCTCAAGCGCCGGCTACTGGAGAAAGATTTAAAGTTGGAGTTTAACCAAGTCAGCTCCTCGTGCCTCTCCAACGAACACTCAGTCGGTCCACTTACAGGAAATATTATAGGTAGTTTCCGTCAATTTACGACTTTCAGCAGCTTAAACTTTAAAATAAATTGCAAACTTTACCGAAACTTTACCGGAAAACATTCTCTTTCGAGTAGTAAATATATTACAAATAGTTAGCAGTGAAGTGATTATTTTAATTGGCTACAAATATCAAAACCTTCGATCGCTTTTTACTGAACCGTGCTCGTCAAAACTTATTCAGATTTTTGTTGCTGGTGAACCAGACTACGAACTCAGCAAAATTTCCACAACGGATATTTTGTACAAGTGCCAGGTGTTTCCCACTTCCGGTGGATCGGCCGTTTTCCCATTGATTCATCAATTTTGAAGGGTAGATATGTACATGTTTGAATGTACATATGTACACATGTTTGAATGTTTTAATTTACTTAATTATTTTTATTCTGTCTCGTCTTTAGTTACCCAGAATGTTCTATATTGTGGAGATGACGGATGCCGGAACTGCCTGGGTGGCGATTGTACCAAGGTCTTACTTCCATGAAGGGAAGTCGGCTTGGCCAAAAGGAAAAGATGCAGCCACAATTGTCAAGTCAGGGAAGCCTCCTAAACAAACTTATCCAAGATATGATGCAAGAATCCTGCATGCTTATGGTTGGTTTCATTTACTAAAGACTGATTGGATAGGCTGATTTATTTTTATTTATTTATTTAATTGGATTTCAATTTAGAAACTTATGATGAGGCTCGTAAAAAAATAGTTGCTGCTGAACAAACGTCGGATTTATCAGGCGCTGAAAATAATGACCTACCAAATAAGAGAGCGAGAATCCGACAACCACCAATGCCAGTTGGAAGTGACGGAGATAGTGACGATTCTGAGAACGAGAGAGTTGTTAAAAAAGGTGACATTAAATATAATTATATTTTTATTTACAATAGTCAACTTTTATAACCATTTATATTGCTGTAGCTAAAGTTGTTCGGCCAATTGGATCCTCAAATGTAAATTCAGCCGACATGTCCACTCTCCCTCCGATGCCATTACTAAATCTACCAGGTAATTAATAATTATTAATGGTTATTTAACTAATAAGCTTGGTCCCGTGATAACTTTTTATTTAGAAGCTGAACATATCGGTCCTGACGCCGATCTACCGGCAGGAGGACAAACGAGTTCTTTTGGAGATGGGGGTGGCACCTCGTCACTTTTAAATGAAGGTGCGAATATTTACAACTTTGTATTCAGAGGTATTTGTGAGTTAATAAACAATTGTTTATTGCAGATACGCCACCAGCCATCAATACAGTTGTTCCTGCACCTTTGCGAGTGGACGTAGAATATAATCAAGTTTCCCATAATGCAATTGGAGGACTGGAGTGGACGATTTCTGACACGTCAACACCCATTTTCGTTACAAATATTCAGGCTGGTAATATTTAGGAATTTCTAAAATGTTCTAGTATTAATATTTTACCGATTTATTAATTATGCATTGATATTCACTACAGAACAATGGAATAAGTTGCTTCAAGATGTCTCCAACATCAAAATCACGTTAAATAACATCGATAAGAAGCTGGACAATATCCTAACCAAAGATTCTGCTCCAAAGGGCCCACCAATAATTAAGAATCCTTTTGAGAAATTGGATGAGTTTACTACCTTTGACGAGTCCTTACTTAATAATGATGAGTTGCAGTTAAAATTGGTAAGTTCATTTATATTTGTAAAATTAAATATATACATTTAATCTGAGTGTTTCTATTCCTTTGCAGAAATGCCATTTAGTATGTGGAGTAGGGGGTAAGGTTCCTGAAGTCGTCAGTGGAATGCTGAAAAAGTTATTTACCGATAAACTGGCCCTTGACATTAGTCTCAAAGGATACAAGGGAAATTACAATTTCTCAGCCACGGTTAGCTTCAAAGTGATGTCGGGTAAGTTGTTGAAGAATTAATCTATCTATCTAATCAAAATAAGTCATTCTACTCACTAATCGATTACACTTATTAATTTGTTAATAGATTCAGCGATGGATAAAATTCCTGACGTGACCGAGAAGGAAATTTCTAAAGCTATGATTTCGTGGTTCCAGCACGCCAGTGATCGACTCAAAACAAAAAAGAATAGTTCAGCGTAAATTTGTTTACTAATGTTGTTGATTTTGTTTATTGTAATCATTAATTAGTTAATAATTAATTGATATTTAAAAGCTGAATAAAAGGTATGTGATAAAAGCTATTACATAATTAGATATCATTACGACATCAATATGACATCATTAACTGATATGAATGAGATATATCAAGGATATCCAATGGAGCTCGAATCCGTGTCATTAAATGACATCGCTACGATGTCTACAAGAGCATCCAGGCGATATCAAAAGTCGCGAAATAGCGATCCGCAGAGGACATACACGGACATGAATTGATATCCTCAGGATATACAGAGGTCATCATTTTTTTATCATTATGATATCAGCAAGATATAAAATTGTTCCATGGGGAGACAGCCCGACCAGCGGCGGTAGCACATTAAAGGCTAATTGCCGACTTAAAGGCTAATTGCCGACAAAGGCCGGATTACAAATGATGGTGTCACCTTAGCCCGAGAAAATTCCTTAATTAATGGATGCAGATTTTTTATAACAGAGAACTCGGTTAGCCGCTAGGTTCAAATGCAATATTCAGATATCTCATCTGAGGACAATAAATTTGGCGCAAGTCGTCTACCTACCACTTATAACTGTGGCGTTTTTAAGACCTTCAATTTCATCAGATATTCTGCACTATTATGGCCCTTGCATATTATTGTCTGCTATGCTTTTTGTAGTAAATACAAAAAGGCTTTAGTTTTTGGTGAATATAAAGCTAATAAGCAACCCATATTTTCGCAGCTTTAATTTACCCCAGTACCGATTGGTTTTATCAAATACACATTTTTTTATAATACCTTAGCCTTTTCCCAGAATATCTTGAATTGTTTCCAGAGCAAGCTATTCGTCATTGAAACACATTAACTTATATATTTACCCAGCTTTGTCCGTTGGTAACGGATCCCTTCAATGTTTTATCCCTGCATTGAGGGATAGGAATTTCCCTCATGTGCATTTCTGCAAAACTCGCTAGATACTGAGGGCTGCCCTATGAGGCAGACGCGAACCCGTAGGGTCTGCGTTCGCGTCCGCTTCATAGGGCTGCTTTCAACACAATTAGCCTGTGTACGCAAAACTAGCTAGAGAAGGTTAGGTGAATGTGAACGATGTAGCATAGTGTTCACGTTCAAGTTCACCTCACAGGTCCACCTCCTTCAATATATGTGGCCTGTGTACTCAACACTCGCTAGACAAGAGAGGCTGCCCTAAGAGGCGGACGCTGACGCGGACCATATGCGTCTGGGTCCGCCTTATGGGGCAGTCTTTAATACATATGGCCAGTTTATGCAACAAGCTATAAAATGGTAGCGATTAGGGGGAAATATGAAATCCCACAATTAGTTTAAGCGTGACTAAATTTTGATATAGGAAAGGACCCGTCATTGTGACGATCGTACCTGGTGCCACGGGCACCACAAAACAACCTAGTAAGTATGTACATTTGTTGATCTCGACTGAAGATCGTTTCTTGCGTGTGGCAAATTCGAAAGGAGATATTCACCTGATTTGTTGTTCTCAGACTTGGCTCTAATGAGGTATACCACGTTTCTAATTTGCCCCTAGAGGCTGTTTAGTATAATAAATACGAAAACCTAAAACCTTCAGATACCTGTAAAATCTAGTCCAAACCTTGTCCATAGAATCATACGGAATATGTAACTGTGATAGCCGTCTCTATGTATTACTGTTCGTGACCGAATGCCTTTCGTGTCAAGCGATCAGTCAAACATTTTGTAAGTTAACTTTGAATAATTTAATAGATATTTTATATATATTTTTAAGATAACCCGTCAACCGTAGAGTATCATCAATGTATAATAAGTAATGTTTGTTTGATTCAAGCCCACCCAATCTTAATTCAAATAAATTCAGCGAATTTTCCCACTAATTTCATGACGAAATGTAATTCTTGTCAATGTTCGGGATCTCCCTCTACACTTGAGGTTACTAAATATCTGTGTCTGGAAGATACGAACTGAAAACGCGTTTGTTTTATTCTAGTCCTCTTTTGTCGTGGAAAATTATGCAATATAATGTTTTGTAGTATTGTTCGGTTGCAATTTGAGATTTGTGAATTTGTGCTTCGTATTAAGCGTGACACGCAAGGCTAGGGTGGGTTAATGCGTAGTCCTTAATACATGTTTACCACCATTTTTAAGTTTACAGAGCCAAATAATTTAAATCACATTACGGATTAGGGATCTTTCTAAGGTAGGTAATTTATGGCGGACGCCCGAGAATTATATACTTTATAATATTTTTTTTTTAATATTTGACTAATTATTTATTTTTTATCTGGGTGGGCCCAATTGGACCCTCTTCGCCCCCAGAGCACACTACAGGACCGATATGTCGTTGCTAGAAGAAATCTTCGCGGAGCCGCCCGACATCCCCACAACACCACGACTGCGAGGTCGTCCACGCCGGTCGTTAGTAGGCCGCATTGCATCTGCGCTCGGATACAGGGAGGAGGAACCCTCTACAAGTGCTCCGCTAGTGTCACTCGTTCCTATTGTCGACGACCCCCCGCCTTTGAACACATCAACACTCGCCTTACCTCCGCAACGTCGTCGCAATTCTGTATCGCCCTCATCGCCAAATGTTACAAAAAAGGACACTTGTGCTTCGGCTCGACGGTGGATTCAGCAAACCCTCGTCGCTGAACCCAACGCTAACATTAGAAAAGTGGATGTTTTGTGCCGCTACTCAATCTTCGCAATCGAATCGGGGGAGGGTGGTGTGGCGGAAGCCACCCTTGAAAAATACATTAAAGAAATATTCCCCGACGTCACTGCTCTTCGAATATACACTGGCATCCGATGGGTGGACGCCACAACCTCAGCACCACCACCACAACCAGACTGGGGAGAAATTCTCTCACGTCTCCGAACCACCACGCCCACGTTACGGAGAGTGCCAAGAGGGGCTCGCATGGTTGTTGCCCAATCCCTCACGAGAATTCTAAATGAAGTCACTTCGGGGGAAAGTGACGAAAGCTGGAGAAACTTACTCCTCTTTTCCTACGCCATCCTTCCTGTCCCCCAGAAGTCGGACCAGGTGAAGAATTTGACGACATGGGTCAAGAATCATGTGGCGACATGGGATGCCGATTTTTCCACACCGCAACCACTATTACCACGCCCACCATCAAGAAAACCTCCCAAAGACGATGTGGCCCGTAAAGTTGAAGCAAAACTCGCCGATGGTGATATACGTGGTGCCATACGACTCGCCTGTTCAGACGACACCATCGCCCCCAACGACGACGTCACCTTCGCGGCCCTTATTGCAAAACATCCTCAACACCCACAACCAATCAACCTTCCTAGGCCACCAGAAAATCAAGAAATTCCTCCCATGCTGAATTTGGAAGCTAGCAAGGCTATCTCTACATTCCCTCCTGGGTCGGCGGGGGGATTAGATGGAATGAGGCCACAAATTCTAAAAGATCTGGTTGGGTGTAACCAGGGGGAGGTGGGGGAGGACCTCATCAAAGCCATCACGGCTTTCCTCAACCTCATCATGGATGGAGGAGTTCCCCCGACCATTTGCCCTATTCTCTACGGGGCTTCCCTCACCGCGTTGAAGAAGAAGACAGGGGGTATCAGGCCCATCGCGGTTGGGAATACTTGGCGTCGCCTCGCCGCTAAAGTCGTTGTCGCCAGGATTACCCCCCAACTTATCCAACAATTCTCCCCACATCAGTTAGGAGTGGGCATCAAGGGTGGTGCGGAGATAGGGGCTCACGCTGCCCGCACATAATGGAACCACGCCCATGACGCCCCCAAAGCCTTCCTTAAGATTGATTTTAGGAACGCCTTCAATGAGGTACGACGGGACACGCTTCTCCACGCCGTAAAAGAACACTTTCCCTCAATATTCAGTTTCGTCTCCCAGTGCTACGCGGCGCCATCAAGCCTCTACTACGGGACAATCTCCATCCCTTCACTCCTAGGCTGTCAGCAGGGAGACCCTTTAGGACCGTCCCTATTTTCTTTAGTCCTACAACCCATGGCGTCCATGAGGCCATGGACGCCGAGTTCAACGTCTGGTATCTCGACGATGGAACCATTGCGGACACTCCGGAAAGGGTTCTGGCCTCCCTAGCGACTATTGCGAGGATGGGTGAAGAAGTGGGCCTTCACCTCAACCTTGACAAGTGTGAAGTGGGCATCTTGGGGGCAGATTTGGACACCAGCAACACCATTTTGCAACGTTTCGGAGAAGTCGCCCCCGGGATTCAGCCCATGTTTATGGAGGGGGCAATGCTGCTAGGAGCACCACTCACCAAACAAGCGATAGGAGTGGTCCTAGCAGCGAAGACGCAACAACTTGCCACTCTGTCTCAACGTCTCCGCCAGCTTTCCTCCCACTCTGGTTTTTTCCTCCTCCGTGCCTCTATCTCCATACCTCGTCTCATCTACTTTCTCCGCTGTGCCCCAACTTGGCGAAATTTCGAGGCTCTCTCCCTCTACGATGCGACACTGAGGGACGCATTAGAAGGGATCCTCAACTGTTCTCTCTCCGAGGCTGCGTGGATGCAGTCCTCTCTCCCCGTGAAGGAAGGTGGCCTGGGGGTCAGGCACGCTGTAGACGTGGCGATACCGTGTTTTCTCGCGTCCGTCTACAGCGTCCTGCCTCACGTGGAGCTCCTCCTTCCCGGTCACCTCCATGGCAATGACACCGCCATCGCCGAGGGAGAACAGCGATGGTCAACATTCGGCCCCCCACAACTCCCCTCAGATACCATTCGTGATATGCAATCAGCGTGGGAGCGTCCTATCCTCGATGTCACGCTGTCCCACCTTTTTGTCAGTGCACCCACGATTGAGGACACCGCTCGTCTTCGTGACCTACGTGATCCCCATGCCGGTGACTGGCTCAATGTTCTCCCCTCACCACAACTTGGGACCCATCTATCCGACGAGTCGTTTCGTATCGCCATCGCCCTTCGCCTGGGGTGCGATATTTGCCAACCCCACAAGTGTCCATGTGGGGTGCAAGTCACTGCGCGAGGCCACCATGGCCTCTCTTGTCGAAGTAGTCGTGGTCGTCAATCTCGCCACGCGGACGCCAACGATGTCATTGCCAGAGCCCTCCGATCCGCCGAAATCCCCTGCATCCGAGAACCACCCGGATGTTCTCGCCAGGACGGCAAGAAACCAGACGGCATGACGCTCGTCCCGTGGTCTAGGGGGAAGTCTCTTGTTTGGGACTACACGTGTACAGATACTTTTGCTCCCAGCAATCTCCCTGATACAATACGCCACCAGGGCGCGGCTGCCAACAAGGCTGAAGATGCCAAGAGGAGAAAATACGCCTTCCTCCAGGATAGATTCCTCTTTGTGCCCGTAGCAATGGAGACAACGGGTGTGTGGGGAAAGGAGGGTCTCTCCTTCATCAAGGAAATCGGTCAAAGGATTGCGGCAAGGACCGGGCAACCCAATGCCACCACTTATCTACGCCAGCGAATCTCTCTCGCCACTCAGCGAGGAAATGTCGCCTCAATCTTGGGGACTCTTCCAGCCGGAAAAGAGCTGGAAGAGATTTATTATTTTTAACATTACTTTTTCCTCTAATTTTCTCTTCGGTAAGGTTAGGTTTTGTACGACTCCTGCGTAGTCAGCTTTTTTTTACGTTGATGTGTAATCATGAATACTCTGCGATTTAATACTTTTAATACGGAAAATAACAATAAAATTTATTAATACGATTACATACATATCTTTATAATTTGTAGTGAAATTCTTTATTATCTTCCATACATTTGTCCAGTGTATAGAAGTTCCATAATGGAACGCCCTTCTGAAAAGGACTGCATGGAATATGAATTGGGAGGAGTGGGTAATTTTTTATAAATATGTAAACTTTTACAACGTCATTTACTGGGCCGGTGCTGGTACTACGGGCACTATGAAATAGCCTAGTTATTGAAATATGTTTGGGTTCATGTTAACATTTTCAGTTCAACATATGTATTAAACACGAAACTATAGAGAATATTCTAAATATTGGATGCAGTGTACTCCGCGAAAACGGCAATGTGGCAAAACGGCAATCCAGCATACCGTTTTGCCGAGTAAAATCCCCTTGCCGTGCCGTTTTCCTTTAGGGCTCTATGTTAAAACATACAAAAAGGCAATCCGGCAAAAGGGCAATCCCGCAAAACGGCATAAATTTTATCCCAAAACGGCGCCGTTTTGCTCACACTGATTGGATGGTGCATGATGGAAGAAATATTGCTTATTTTTGTGACTTTCCTTTTAGTAAATTAGTTTTAAGGTTCTTAAGAATTGCGTGTCAGCCCGCTTCTTTTTGCATGTATTCAAAACATGCATGTACTCGAAAACTAATATCAATTTTTTAAAACGCAAACACGCCATCACGCAAGCCTCCTATACTTACATATTCTTAAGATGTGTATATGTATTACTGAATAATCACTAATGGAAATATTTACTTAAAAGTGAATTTATCAATCTATGGCAGAAAAACTAATGGTTTTCATTTCGGAATGAAGAATTTTTGGAAATTTATTGATACAATTTTTATCATATGTATAGACTATATATTAAATCGTTTACTTACATGATTGGTAATACAATCTATCTATATTATATAGATAGATAGTATTACCAATTTGGTAACAATGTCGGTATCTGCGGAGTCACTCTGATGCTCTTCATTGCTGGTAAAATTTATGACTGAACCGCATCAATAATGTTTGCAATGGTTGTCCTTAGCTACAAGATTGGCATTAAGAGCATTTTTGGACATGTATTCAGAAAGACCTGGCTTGGCAGGAAAGCTGTCAATTTACGTCATTAAATTCACTCATAGTTTTCAAAGTATTGCTTATAAGGTTAAATTTCTAGTGTTAAAATTTCTTTCATGTAAATTAGATATTTCAGTTTTCGTCAATACATAATTCAGCACAGTCTAGCCTGATTTGTACAATGGTCAGATTTCTTCAGGGACTATTACCTGTCGATGCTTGAATTCATTTATGGCCAAAGCTGGCGACTAGAGTAAGCTATGTAAATTCTGCTCATGTATGGAAAAGTTCCCTTCCCTTACATTCCAGGACACGCAGGTTATGTCGACCTTGCGCAAAACCAGATAAGAGCATCTAGCGGGCGATCTGGCCTTCGACTGCCAGAGCTGCGGCAGAGTTTGGCTTTGCCACTCGACCTGGGCATGGACATTGAGAACTAAAAATTTTACTCGACCGGGAAATGGCTGATTGAAACTGATGGGTCGTATTTCTTGGCTGTCGTATACCTGTTCAACTTAGGGTATATTTTTTTGTCAATTCATTACTAAGAATCATAATTAATCTCTACTTATAATTCAGGCGAGTCAGTCGCTGTGAAGCCGATCTTAGTGCATGTGCACTTAACCATTGCCAGTCCGACCAGTATTCCGCATCTGTAAACCACTTTTCTCCAAATATTTCAAAATATTTTCTATTCCTGCGGATCTTCCCTTGAATCCAGGACACCGCTAAAGCCTTCACTTCATCCCCGCCGCGTCCCTTGATCGCGATTTCTTTTCGCCATTCCTCTATCGCTGCGATGACCTCGTCACTAACTTCCCCGCTATCCCCGAATAACCAGGTCTGCATAATTTCCACAATTAATTTCGACAGCGCCCGACTATCTATGATTTCCTCCTTCTCCAAATAACTCTCCGCCGTGGTTCCCGCTATCTTCGCCAGTTCGTCCAGCGGGGGCAGGTGGGTCTTCAGGGTGAGGAAGTTCTCCTTCATTCTCTCCCACTGGTCGCCGTTCACCGATTCTAGCGAAATTATGGGCAGGAAGGCCTTCGTGCTCAGGATTTGTTCGATCCCGCTCCCCTTCGAGGAGGAGGAGGAGAGGAGGCGGCGCGCCAAAGCGGGGTCACTGACCCAGAGAGATTTTCGACCTTGCATACTGCAAAATAGGTTGAGAACAAATTCCCGCCCGAAATCGTACCGGATGTGCTTTGACACCAAGTAGAGGACGAAGGATATCGTGACGAATAAGGCAGAGTAGGGAAGAATTGTGGATTTCCATGGCAACAAGGCAAATAATGTGAACATATTCTGGAAATTATAAATCAATAATCAATCAATAATATTGATCCCTCTACAAATCTAATATTCATTCTTACTCAGATATAAATAATTCAGAGAAAATTAATCGTATTCTACTCTCCTACTTGCTGCCTCCTCTTAAAAACCTGCACAAATTTTAACAATTAACCAAATTCCACCAAAAAAACATGGAAACATTACCAGAACCAGGTAGCCGCTAAATTTCTTCTAGTTTGGAAACTGTTCACATTATCTACACAAAATTGTGCGTAGCGTTATTATTTATTATTTTAGACCTTTTATGATTAAAGATCATATTTTTTAAATTTATAGTTATGCAAATTTATAAGTGTACGTAGAACTGTATGAAATATCAAGTTTTCAGCTCGCTTAACAAGTAACTTTTATATATTTAATGACCAAAAACTGAAAACTTACTCTGGAAATTTATCACAAATTAAAATATCCGGCTTTTCCTGTCCTTTTTTTACATTTCCTCTCCAACAAACAGATGACTGTTGAATGGTATGAGAAGAGTTTTGTGCGATATGAGTACATTTCACTCAAATGCCGGCTCATTTCATTACTTCGCAGTTTTGCACGCAGATACACATTCCCCGCGGAAGGTTGGGGGCAATGTCGGCGTTTCAATGTCCGTGTCATCTCCCAATGTTAACTAAATCGCTGCCTATCCTACAATGTTAATGTCCCCTCGTGTTTCCGTGGTCATTACAAATGCATAGCGTGGGGATGGCATGATGGGCTGAAGTTCAAGTGGAAACGTTTATCAGAAGTGATGCAATTCTGCTTATAACGTGATTTGCATATTTCGTTATCTCCTCGTCCCAATAAAATTTTTCTCATTATGTTTTCTCACAAATATCACCCTCCAGATATTATGTATGTAGAAATTTATCGCTCGTTAATACATATACGCGTTGCATGTAATTATTTCGGAAATTTGGGAGTTTAATAATTACGAATTTTAAAATGATTTTTAACAAGTTTATTAAAATATTACAAAACAATATTAAATTCGAAATTTTATTCAAAGTGGTATAATTTTGGAATGACATACTTATCACTACGCAAACTGACTATTGAACGCGACTTATTTCATTTTTTCTATAAATTAAAACGAGTATCAAATGGTCTCATAAAAAACTTTGTTTAACTATACATACTTTATTCTATACCACTAATAAAGCCCCTACTTTGACCTGGGCTGACTTTGTAAAAAATTGCCTGTTAAAAATTCCATGTTAAGATTTATTAATCGATACTAATTATTGGTGTAGGAAAAAAAACATTGCAAAAATTTTTCGAAAGTTTGTAAAAATGTCCTCGTATAGAAACATTTAGACCCTGCAGCATTATCCCTTGAAGAATTAATTTATATCTCAGACTATGCTAATACATGGTCAACTTCGATAACTCTAAAAAAAGTTTTTAGAGTTAAAAGTTTTTTAAAAACTTTTCCAATTTCTAAAACCTTTTATGATTATGTATAACGATATTAAGTATAAACATTTTCAAGAATACCAATATGTATTTTATTTAATGTAATATAATAATTATGTTTACGTAAATATCTACTCATCCTGACAAAAATATTCTTGAGTTATATTAAATCAGCAATCGAACTGAAACCAATTGCCAACTTATTGGTTACCAAATAGTCCAGGGTAAGGAAAACCTTGGGGTTATGCTATTAAAACCCCGGGGTTGATCTGGGTTTTCGGGGTTTTCGGGGTAGTCGGGGTTTTGCTCCCACTTGGGGCAAACTAAGAAGTAAAACTCATGATAATTAATACTAACTTTGGGTGTCCGATGTATAATTACGGAGGATAATAATTTATTACTCAATGCAGTATTAAATATGCAAAATGAGAACTTTTGTGCTTAAATTTAATAGTTGTAGCATGTAGTTCCCTTATTAAAATCGAAAACCCGGGGTAGGATACCTGCTCCTATCAAATTAACCTCGCGCATCAAGCAATATTGCCGTATTTAATTTCCCAGTCTATCTACCAGACATATTAACCTGAACTTAATAATACTAAATTCATAAGTCTAACCGAATATCATATTCAGAATATGATACCGTTTTCCGACTTAAATTCTTATAAGAAATTTGGTTTTGTTATATCCAAGACAAATTTAATTTGAGCATGAAAAATTTAAAGATAAAACTACCCGCATTGGGCAATTCTTTACTCAGGAAGAATCAGCTCGGCAAACTCTACAGAAGACAAATATTCGCTGGGAAACATGTACAATTCAAAAATTTCACCAAAATTCCCAAAATTCCCGAAATCACTCGACACTTTCTCCAAATGTTTCGCCTTCATGCCAACATTTCCCCTCGGGTGGGACATTCAGAGCCAAAAACTTGTTTCTTTCCAAGATCCGAAACTTCTCCTTCCATGGATGGCCTTAACCCTTACTCTGTTCCTGTCCAACTCCGTCGTGGTTGTTCTCCTCCTCTCCGAAATCTTGGGCTTGGTAGATCTCACCATCTCGGAAGTGGTCCTCTCCATCCTTCTCCTCTCTCTGGGCGGACTGTCCGCCTTACTGGATTTCATCACGGCGGCATTTACCCGCAACGCGGCACAGGCTTTCAACTGTCTCGCCGTCTTGCAGAAAGAAATCCGTACGTAAGCTTTACTAACCATTTCGTAATAAGATTTTTAAGGGCTGCATTACTGAAAAATTTGTATCTCCAAATTAACCCCATCACTTAAAAAACCATAATTTCACATTTTCTCGCCAGATACTCCCACCGCCTCTCCAAAATCAAACAACCCGCCTTTTACCACCATCCTAGTAAACACCATCCCCATTCTGTTCGCCCCGTACGGATTCCTCATCCCAATTTGCGGCATCTACTTAGGTCTCGACCCATACACTCTTACCGAAAGCTACCTCATCCCCGCTAGATGGCGCCACTTGGCTCCATACTTCTTCACCCCCTTAAAACTCAGCCTGATCGGGGAGGGCTTTTTCTGCGTTCGAGTTTACTCCTTGCTAATCTCCTTCCCCACTTTAGCAGCGGATCTCATGTCCTCCACAATTTCTTCCCTATCCAAGAAAGCGGGTAACCTTAAGAACACCGCCGTCTCCCGCTACTGGCGAGATACTCCGCTTGCCAAATAATTCTGACCATCATGTCCCCCTTTTCCGCCCCTTGTGTCGCTATTATACTCTTCTACTCATTTATTTTATGCATCCTCTATAATTTCATATCGCTCAAGATGTACGATGTAATTCCCCTCCCACAATTTATCTACTTCCCAATGTCATCCCTGATAATTCCCACCATTGTGCGGATAGTTGTCCCAATGATGATCGCTATTCACGACGACTCAACAAACCTGATTCGTAAGTGGGGACGTATCCTAGCAACTACACGCGATAAGAGGTACGTAGGGAGACTAATTCGAGCGCGACGGAGTTTACGAATTTACGCGGGATTTGCGCAACACAACTACTTTAATTGTGTGAGGTCAACGCTTCCCACCTACTTTGAGGCGGTGCTCGACTACACGATTACCGCTCTGATGTCCATTAATGTGACAGATTTGAACGAAATGTCTTAATTTCTGGTAGTTGGTTAGTCAGTCTTTAGAGCAGATCAATAATGTAACATATTTATTAACAAAATTCCACCCATTCACTATCTAGATAAAATACAAGAATTATTTAGGAAACATGACCCCCACCTTTCTCGCATTCCCGTCCAACATATGCACCGTCGTATCCGCATATTCGTTCACCCTCACCAACAACTTTTTCAAACTTCCCGCCTCCAACTCTTCCAATAGTTTCGCCGCTTCCCGCGGATTATTCGGGAGCGCCTTTTGCAACCTGTTCCTCACCCAAGTGTCGCACATCTGCCGCCCATCCTTCGTCATGTTGAGTCCCGCCGTCCCAAATTTATACTCGACGACCAGAAGCTCCGCACTCTTCCCGCGGCCGATTCGGTAAACTGCGTCGATCCCCTTACCTCCGGGCGTTTGGCGGACCGCAATCATCTCAAGCGGGGAAAACGGGCGGGCCAACTTCGATCGGAGGAACTGCTCACCGAAAAATTCGCCAAACTGCGCCTTCGTCCAAACGCTCTGCTTCTGGATAAATTTTGCAAGCTCCATCTTTTTCAAGATACTCATCTCACAGCGGTCCACGTTCAGCATGAATTCCCCCAAGTTTTTGATGTACGGCAGCACGCTACTCTTTGCGGTCGATGCCCCCTTTTTAGCGACATTCCAACTCTGCTTAATCCCTTTCTTCCCCAGTTTTCCGAACGTTGTGGGCAATTTTACCACCAACTTTGCCCCCCCGACAACCCCAGAAGTAAGTGATATCGCGTGAAATGTCAGCTGACCTAATTCTTTTCCCAATTTGAAGGCGTCATCATTGCCCCCTCCATTTTCGAAGAGGTCAACAACCTTGCCTAACTTCTCCTCGAGCGATGCCACGATTTCGTGACCAATCCGTCTCCTGATTTCCGGATCGGATAACACTTTCCGTATTTGTGTCAATGCTCCTCCGATATCGGAAATTAGGTCAACCATCCCTTTCACCTCGTCAATCCCCGCCGCAATTATTCCATGGGCGAAACCTTTTTCGAGATGGTATAATTGGTGAGCGCCCCGCTTAATCCATTTCTTGATAATGACTGTTTTCTCATAAATCGTTCCCGCCATGGATAATTCCGTCCTAAATTGGACGAATTGTCGCGACGAGAGGAAATTATTATCCAGCGCGATCGTCGCAGTGTTTAGGATCGAGGATAGATTAACGTTCTCGCTTTGTCCGGAGAAAATTGCAGCGGCGAGAATTGTCGTCACGAGTAAATTCCTTCGCGACAAAGTTTCCTACAAAATACCGCCAGTTATAAACGTTTGCTAACTTAAATTTAAAATATTTCCCCACCTGCTCAGACTCTAGCGGATCCGGTGCCCGCATAATCATTGCTGGAATAATTGAAGACACTCCCGCCACAATAACCGGTCCTAACGGATTTTCCCGCCTAGCCGCCGCCCCCGCAAATGCAAGTAACGCGTGTGCCGCTACATGAAGTGGATGACCTTCAATCAATCCCCGATCACGGACCATCCTCCCAATTTCGCTGACCGCCCTGGCCTGGATAAAATTGATCCCTGCCTCTCGCCCAATCACCGCCAAGCTTCCAATTTGCCCCACATTCCCGCAAAACGCGGCACTCAACGCGGTACAAATCTGCCTCCCAGTTCCACCCGGGCCCCACATTGCTCTATCCTTTTCCGCAGATTCTCGCAATATCAAAAGTTTCTGCAAAGCTGCAAACTTCTTCTCAACATTGGGCTCTTTTTTCACAATTTCTTCCTGAACTTCGACCTCTTGTCGCTTCAAATCAATGCTTTTTACTCGATTTGACAAAAAAGTCGAGACTTGACTGGCAAACGCGGTCACCATCTGGGTCCGCCGTGCCAATTTTTCTCCATCGAAAACGTTTCCTAAGGGTTGCAAATGTCGAACAGATTCTTGAAGTCTGGTCAAAGACTGCTTCTGTAGTTCGGGCTTCTTGATTTCAATCTTGCCTCCAACGTGACTCTCCGTCCGGCTTATCGCGCTGTCCGCGCCGTGCAGGACGAGCGGCATTGAAGCGCCCGGGGTAAGCTGCATTTTCCCGCTTTTTTTGTTCTTCCCCGCTTCAAGCGATGCCCCGACAGAGATTGACCGCATGTCGTAGGTGAACTTGTTTACGACGTCCTCATAACTCAGAGTCCCCGTTGCCAGGGAAGAATTTTCCGAATTTAGACAAAAAATCATTCCCCCTTTCAGGTGGGTGTGACCAGCGACGTCGACGTCAAATTGATCCGCAGATATTCCATTGCAACACTATTCCACCGCAACATTTCTAAATTGCTTATCCCATCCAGTAGGGGATTCGAGACGCCGAAAAATAGACCTGATTCCGTATGGGAAACATGTTCCGTAGTCCGATCAGAATTTACGGCGGGTAGAATGTTCACCGTGGATCCCGCAGCTGCAACCGTTCCCTGAGCGGCTTGTTGAAGGGACCCAACCTGCTCAAACTTCCCGCCCGCTGTCATTCTTACGTTTCCTGTCGCCGAATCCAGAACGGTTGGTCTGTTCCTGACACCTTCTCGTCCTCTGTCGGTGATCGTGTTGCTTTCGGAAAAAATATCGTCAGTTGTAGCGTCCCTATAAGTGTACGATTTGAACGATTCTTCAGCGGGAAGAAGACTGATTGAATTTCCCGCCTTTCCGATCAGCTCGTTCTCCACACAGATCACCGCACCAGATGTTTTCAAACTGTCCCTTGCCGTGACAACAAAATCGTTCGCCGCGATCTGAGAAGGCTTCGCTCTTTTCTGGCTACCCGTTTTCTTCGAGTGGACCGTCGACGAAGAAAACGTGAACTCGTGGCGGGACGTGTGCTCAATCTCGAACGTTGACGAAGCTTCGCCAGACAAAATGTTGACGTTATTTGCATCCATTCCCAACTTTTTGCCGACTTCCATCCTCATACCGGTTGTAGTTATGTCACCATCGATCGCGTCAAGGTGAAGATTACCCCCCATTTTCAAAACCGATCCCACCTCATCCTTATATTCTTCCGACATGTTCGAATTTTCGTCCCAAACGATTCGTTGTGATTTATGGAGCCCAACCGCGCCAAGATTGATGTCTCTTTTCGCCCCAATTCTCGTCTCACCTTCCCCGCTATTGCCAAACTGGGCAGCCTTGCTAATAAAATCCCGCCCGGACTTCATTTCCAGGTCGCCATCTTGCATGTAGATTGTTGCAGTTTCCCCCAAGTTTGATCCCCCTGGCATTACTTTCGTCTCGTTTACGATATCACCATCGACAGTTTCTAGCCGCATTTTGCCCCCTCTACCCATCAAATTCCCGCTTAAATTGGTGAATTGGGATTGAACAAGAATATCCATTCCTTTTTCCCCGGACGCAACGGTACCTTCATCGTTAAGAAATGATCCCGCACTTAGTTTCATGTCATTAGCGAAAAGTACTCCGCAATTTGTGACGGACTCTATAATCAAATCCATCTTGTTGGTCGAGATAATACTATTTCCCGCCGGGTTCTGGTATGATTTTCTTTCCAGGAGGTATACTTGCGGGAAAAGGGCCGTCTTCAAGTCCTTATTTGGCGTTTGGATTTTCCTCCACACAAACCAGATAATACTTTCCTCCAGGCGTTCCAGATGTTCGGATGATAGTTCCGCTCCTGACAAAATGTTAAATTTGGCGGAAAATTTGAATCCATTCCTGGCCAAGGTCACATATTGGGAATCCTCGTCGTTAAAAGAAGTTAGCAAAATCGCTCCAACCATCTCGATCAGCTGGTTGCGAACGATATTCTGCTCCAAAATTATCGGCAATCTGAGCGGATTTGAAACTCCCAACTCACCCAACATCCCCGAAATCGTTATCTCCATCTCGCTTTGCCTCGGGGTAATAAGTCGCTCGTCCACTCGTAAAAAAGTATTGTTCCCCGCGATCTCAAACATAAATCTGTGATTTATCAGTGTCCCAACATCGAAGTAATGTTCCGACGATATTTTCTGATATCGAATTATTCCCGCGTTTCTTCGAACATTGTACGAAACTAAGTTCGAAGTTCGATATTCCCCCATTAAAGTTTGAATTCCCGCCTGGCTGCCCACTTCTGGTGGGGTATCCTCCAACATACACGTATATGCTTGTAGTTGCACTGGTTGATCCACAGCGGGAGGATTGTAGCCTGCAATACTGCTGTATTCTCGAACCCTTTTCCGTTTCTTGGGTCCCGCAATCCTATATTTTCTTCCTCCCCTGTGTGTCTCCATCCAACTAGATTGCGAATGTCCACCGTCAACTATCCTTTTAATTCCGTATTCATCCAAATTTATTAGTTCTCCTAGCGATCCAACCATGCTTTGCGAGAAAATGTGCGACTTGTCATTTGTCAGAACGGTTTCTGAGGACAAAGTAAGTCTCCCGCCGATATAAATTTTAGCGGGGGACGTTTCCACGATGTGCGTTTGGCTAATGGATCGATTGAACTTGTAAGAAGTGTAGTCTTTAAATGGAACCCAGCTCTCTGGAACTAATACCCTTCTACCGAATCTAAAAAATCGGCGACCGCCCGAAAACTTATGTAGTTCCGGATATGGTTTATCACTCGTGCTAATATTTATTCTCTGTCCACTCTGAGCATCAATCATCCCGAATTTTGACACAAATCGCAATTCCGTCCTGAAAGCGGGATTCTTCTGGTGGAAATTTCTCACAGAAAAGTTCCCATCCCGCTTAATGTCCACTATTCCAGAAATATTTTCAAAATTTTGACAATGTGAGTTCGAATATCCGCCAAAGTCCAGGAACCCTCCCGAATAGAAGACAGCATCTTCTCTGTTAAAGAATTCGTCAATTTCCGCCTTAATCCCGTCCCGTGCCGCGATTACGCCATGTCGCGGGTTTTCTACGACTTTCGATCTTATATGTAAAACTCCCCCATGAATTATTGACTTTCCAGCGTTTGAAACAACCTCCGAGGTAATGGTGCACGTCGAAGTGCCATTTATCATCCCTTGGTTATTAAATTTCTTAGCGGACACAGAGGTTTTCCCGCCTTCCACAATCGCGCCGCCCAAATTCTCAAACACGTCCGTGACCAAAGACAAGTCTTCGATTAACAGCGGCGCAATATTTCGAAACTCTGCTGTATTCTCAATATCTCCAGATTGGGCGGAAATCCCGGCAAGATTCCTAATTTTCCCGCTACCCCGAATTTTCAAAGTATTCTGTTCAGGCGGAGAATTAAAAACGAGTTCCTTACTTACATCGTAATCCCCGTTTTCTACGCGAATTCTTGAACCCCGCTCCAGTTTGCAAGTCTCTCCCGCCACTCTCATTATTTCGCCTGACACTGAACCCATAACTGTAGTCTCTCCACAATTTATGGACACACGACTCGCGGATATTTCTGAATTTGCAGTATCCTCATAAACTTTCGAGGCTAGCTTAATTTCGTCCTCGGCTTGGAAAACACCGCCGTTTTTGATTCCCGATGAACCCGCCAGGTCTACTTCTTTTCCCCCTATTAATCCAGAGTTTGTGACATGGTTCGCCTCAACCTTGAATACATTTGCGGACGTGCATTTCCCAAAATTCTCGAAAGTAGAGGACACCGCAGCACGGGCAAACTGCGAGGAATGAAATATAGCGCGGTTTCCATTGTGCCATTTCTCGCCTTTAATTTTGACGTCATTCCCATAGAATTTGTTCTTATTGGAAAATTCTTTAGTGGTCAAGTCACATATCCCGTGGAGCTCGACGGTTCCCATATTTTCAAATGTTGCATTTCCAACATCTCCAAAATTTACGGAACAATCGCCTTCAGAATAAAACGTAGCGTTTGTAGAATTCACAAATTTGTTGGTGGACGCCGAAACTTTTTTTGCAACCACTTTCCCAAAATTTTGGAAGCTGGACTCAAGCCCGGAGAGTTGGACGGTCAGATGTTTTGAAGAAATAAGTAGCCCATCTAAGATTATTTAAATTTAAATTATATTTTCGCAGATTTCGCTTACAGAATTAATGAGCTACATGAATCTACCTCCTCCATTAACCGCAGTGACTGAATTTAAATCAAAATCTTCACTCTTAATCGACCCATTGTTACCCATGTGCATCGTGGTTAACTGAATCTGCCCACACTCCATCCTTCCTGATGTAATGTTCTCAAACTTTTCCGTGTTGAGAGTAACCACTTTCGAAACAATTTTCCCCGCATTCTCAAATTTTGATTCTTCTCCATTTAGCCTGATGTTGAAATTTGTGGAAGAAATTAAGCCATCTGTAAAAGATCCATGAAATTAAAACTCCAAAATTCTTCCATTTCCTTCACCTGGGTACATACCTTTCTCATTTTCCATTTTGGTCGATACCACGTCAAAATCTTCACTCTTAATTCTCCCTTTATTCCTCACTTGTTCCGCCCTCACCTTAACCCCTTCACACGTCATGCTCGAGTGATTTTCAAATAAAACCGCCTCAATATCCAAACTTCCGCAGAAATCCCCATCCACTTCATAATTTCTGCAAACAAATTTTGTATCCTTGCAATCCACAGTGGATCCTTGTGTGGTTCGGTAAGTATCAAAAATCCCTCTCAACTTCCCATCGCATTCTATTCTCCCACCGTTTTCACAATGTTTTGCTACCAATTTTGCCTCCAAATTTGCACAAATTGTTGCAGTTTTTGAATTTTCTAAAATCCCCGACACATCGAGATCTAACGTATTTGATGAAATTCTCCCATTATTCGCTCCCTCTCCTGTGACCCCAATTGTGCCGTGAAATACCGAAATGGCCGCAGTTTTCCACACTTCGAACGACAATGTTGGCGAGGCTGTCGGAATTTCGGTAATTTGCGCCATATTGTCATCATGCGCACCTTCGTCGAACGAGTCAACTTCTACGATGTTCGGGCCGGTGACAATGTTCAAGTTTTTCGTGGATAGCGTCGAAGCAACGACCAGTTTGTGGCAAAATATTGATAAACGGTCAAGATTTCGGAGCTCAACGCCTCGCCCACAGATGGTCAGGGTGCCTTCGGTAACGTAGAATTTTATCTGGCCCGATTTCACGGTGACTTCTCCGGTCGTTAAGGTCAACCTTTAATTGATGTGAAAAAATCAAGAAAACGTTCATAGATAATTTCTATTAGATACGCATATTTACATATCTCAACAAAAACATGGATATCTTTACCTCGCCGTGTTTTTATGAAGACTAACATCATCCACCGTGAGGCCGCGCGGGTTGCAAATTATTAAATGCACACCGGGCCAAATGGCTTGAATGAATCCGCAAATATTCGAAGCCACGCCCCTCTCCAGTGGGGGTAGCTGGATGACGATCGTATGCATCTCATACCCAACCAGGGTCAGACCGTTGTGGTTCACGCAGAAGTGGTTCAGTCGATTGAAGGAGACTCCCCGGATTGGGTGCACCGTTTGAATGATGTGGTCCTTAAAGGCCGACTGGGTCAGGACCATGCCAGGCTTCCCGTTCTTCAAAGTTGGCAACGACACCGTCCCCTTGTTCCTTGGTAGGCAATGCGCATGCTTAAACCTGTCGCGAATGATAAAAAAACGTTAAATTAGCAAACTGGATTTATGTACAGAATTTCTCCATGGGTATACATAACTCACACCAATTTTTTATACTAATTATTTACTTAACGATAATTATTACTAGATTGGCGGGTAGAAACATACGTAAAGACAAAGGGGGTGAATCTTCACTAAAAAAAATTTAGGGGCACTTTTCGATGAATTCTTCTTCACATCATGGATTAGAAGATTATAACTTCGGGGGACAATGTCTTCTAACCAGTGGAAATAAATAAATTATGCGTTAAATATGATTTTTCAAACAATTTAATCACAGCAAGTTATGGATACACCCCATCATCACAGCCTTTCTCCCTTTCACATTCCTGATAGCCCCCAAAAAATGATTTCTCCCCCGATCATGCATAATCCCAACAGAATAGTGACTCGTAGTCATTTTTAAAAAATCCTGACTTAATGCTCAACATAATCAAAAAAGATCTTACGTGCACATTAGTTGCGAAATCACGGGCACCATGCCCTCCCTCTCCGGCGTGACTTCCAACGCCAAATCACACCATCGGTCCTCCTCCCACTCCACCACGGCCAGAAACCCTTCCGCGTCGAGGGGAATCTTGAGGTACATGCAGACCAGGTCGTGATACATCTTCTCCACGGCACCCAGACCTGCCCGGACTTTCCCGGTGTACAAAAACTGAAAAAAATGAGATTTATTTCAAAATTTCTGTTAAAAATATTTGTCCACTAAAAACTATTCATTAATGAATTATACGAAAGTACAATATACATAATTCAAGAAATTCTTGATTTATTCATCAGTCAGGTAGAACGTTCATAAAATAAGAACCCGGTCCACAATCTCTGTCATTTTAGCTCAAGTGGAAATTGGTGGAGTACGCTAAATTCCAGGATTTATTAACCCTACCGAATACAAAAAAATCAATAAAATAACTCACAAATAGCACCCTCAAAAAGGTCGCCGTGTCCAAATGTCCCACATCCATGGAAACATTCGTCGCCTCCTTCCTCTTTCCGAGCCAGTTCGAAAGCACGTCAGACTTTCGCAATATGTCGGAGTGGCACCCAATTTCGACCGTTTTTCGACACAGTTTCACCCTCACGTCGGCCTCCTTTCCGGGAAGGCAGGTCGCTATACATTTTTCCAAAAGGGTCACTTCCTCCTTAAAACTTGTCATTTTTTAAAATATCCAAACAAAGGCACTTCGTAGCTGCAGAATTAATGTCAGCCAGGCTGCCTGACCCAGGCAACACCCAGTGTATGACTGGCACCAAGAATTACGTAATATGTTCAGTGGATCAGATGTGACTTTATTTTGCGAGACACCGTCACCGCCTCTTCCACGCTGGAAAATTTTTTCGCTATCTTGCACACGTTGTTGGTGATAATTTCCGACACCGACACAAACTTCATTTCGTCCTGCAATTAATGCCGGTTGTGCATAACCCAGTAAAAAAATCTTATCTCGAATTCCATGAACATGGTGTTGCTCAGTCATGTAAATCTTATCAGCTAATTTATCACCGCCTATAGTCGGACAGGACAAATCTACGTTTTTCCAAATTTAACATTTACTCATTCCATACTTATCTTCTAATGAACTAAGTGTAGAAATATGTACAAATCACAATTTTTAAATACATGAATCATTCCTATTTCCTCCCCGACGTATCTGCACATTCTCGGAAAATATTTTTTTTCGTGTCAAACTCATTCTAAATAAACATCCCATCCACCAGGGTACGCCTTTGAGTGGGGACGTCCCAATTTCAAGACCAATTTCTCCCTCTATCCCTTTCCTCTCACGCGGTGCGTCACTCCTTGTAAAAGATAATTACAAGAAATCTCATCACTACAATGATGGAGAAACATAATTTGCATGGAGAAATTTGTATGGAGAAACACATGAAAACCCTTCAAAGCCAAGAATGTGCATGAGAAACTTGCATTCTCCAAAACTATGCATGACACAGGCATAAAATATTAGATCATGTTACTTTGGTAGTTAAAAGAGAAATCTGATCCTGTCTCACTCACAACTATTCTCGTCGACTTGCAAAGAGCCAGGAAAATCTTGTGGCCTCGACAGAAATTAAATTTGAACTCGATTTTAGAATTTTTTCAAAATCACTAATATCTTTCTCAATTTCATCCATTGCTTTGTTTGCATTGCAAATTTTTGCAAGTTCAGGCCAGGAAATCCTATCGTTATATGTAGAAATAGACGTTTTCGCAGCACTTCTCGTCTGACTTCCTTATGCCAAAATGTATAAATCATGTACACTGTATGTATATACAACCCGTAGCACACAAACATGTGTCCTACGGATTGAAAATATATATTTTATTCTAGATTTAAAATTTGTGACGCCCCACTCCTTTCATCGAAGTATGCATAATTAAATACCTAGGTCGCATATGTTTCAAGTTTATATTTTCTTTAACCTTTAGTACAAGTAAATAAATGTTTGAAGCTGAATGATGTTTAATTCTAAATTAAAGCCGGTATAATATTTACAAAAACATATTGAATCACTATGCTTGGAAATTATTTATTTCCACCACCTAACGTCACCTAACGGTATACAATTGAGGCATATGATGTAATATGAATAAGAATTAACTTTTTCCCGCTTTTCCCCATTTCCCACTAATTTTTTTTGTGGGTGGGAAAAAGTGTATTTCTTCCCACCTTTTCCCACTGTAGTGATTTACACCACTTGCAACACTGTCAACTATTATATTTATTATGTATTTAAATTTCACCCACAACTTTAGTCCACTTACTAGTTACAAAACTCCACCAATTACGAGGTATTACAAATTAGTACTTTTTAAAAAGGTACACCCTCCATGAAATTTTCAGCATCTCATTTGACAAATAAATTAATCTTATCATTACATTTGACCCAGTCTCTGCCGATTATTTAATTCCACAGTAATTTATTTCAACCAATTTTCGAGACATCGTTTAATTTTCCATCCTTCATTACCTCTCACAACTTCCGCTGTTCTCCCTTTGCGAAATTTGAAATCCATCAAAGCTTGATACATTTTTCTCAAATAAATCACTCCTGGCATGACTAGTTGAACGATAAATTTCCTACATTCCATCAAAAATTCTACCATCGCAGAGGCCATGATAACTGCACAAAATCCAAAAATGGGTCCAACTAATTTCAAAGAAACCGGGGTTTCCTCATGAAACGTGACTCCATCCTTCCGGTTCCAAAACAAATGCTGTATAGCCTCAAAATTTTTCCGTCCCCCCAAACGTCTATCATGAATTCGAAAAAATGTCGCAATCTGATACACCTTGCTCCAAATCTGGTCCAATCCTGTCTCACGCATGCGTCGCCATTCTTTAGCAAAATATGGAGCCATCAAATTGTTAGGTCCCACATCAAATTTCATAGTTCTAAATTTCGAGTCACCCCTGTTTTTCACGACACGACGGTTTCTTAGGAAAATCGTAATTTCTTTCACCCGCTGCTCTAATATATCTTCGAAATAGAGCAAGATAATGATTTGCTGAGATTTGGTCGAGTTTCCAAAAAGTATTGCACTAACCGTGTTTGCCATCGATTCGTCATTCATTGGCAATACCTTGGCTTGAAATTTGTTCAAGAATTCGACAACTTTTTCATTGTGAACACCACTTGAGATCATTTCTGGGATTATGTACCTCTTAAGGTATGTTTCGTACGATTTCGTAGGATAACTATATACAGAATCCATCGCGACTATCGGGACGTCCCAGTTGAGAAGATCTTCAACTCCGCGCGGAGTCTGAGGTAGAACTGGCACCGTCAAGTATGAATATATTGATCCCTGATACAAATTCGACATAAGGATGAGATAACCAAATAACCATAGATTGAAAATAATCAGGGCCACTTTCCCAGCATTGTACACCTTTCCCGTCGTTTGGCCAGCCTGTCCGAGCAGAATGGACGTTACGTTGATAACCATTTTGACAAGGATGTCACGTTATCATGATTCTGTCGTACTAAATAAGTCAAAAATCCCGCCGTCGAAAGGACGCTGATCAATAGACAAACCCAACTTTCTAGGTCGAACGGGGATCCGAAAGTTTCCACGCCGCTCGCAGGTGCCGGCGGGTTGGTGACTGTTAAGAAGTTGATCGTCCGCAGGCTAACTTGGTAAATGTAGTCTCGCTCTTTTACATGATTCACTCGTATAAACAAAAGTTTGTCGAAACTACCCGATCAACAAAAATCATCATTTTTACGCAAAAGTAATATAGTTAAATTGCAGCACCGGGTGGCCGTTCAAAGTCAGCAATTGTAACCAAAAATTTAACATCAAATCTATGGTGAATTTTACGTAAAAATGATCGTCAAATTTACGTAGAAATGACCGTCAAATTTACGTGAATAGTGTAAAGAATATCACTCCAAAGTAATGGTTGAATGGATGCAATATTTACCATGAAACTCTACTCAATTATTGCAATCGAACAATACGTTCGATTGCAGGCGTTCCTGTAACCAATTTGATATATATATATTTTGTCATTTTGGTACTTAATTAGAGATTATGTAAATAAATAAAATTGTGTGAAGGCACGAGTGATTAGTGATCTTAAATCATTCAATTCCTGTGAATTGACAACAAGGAATGAATTGTCAGGTTCAATTTGATTACCCGCTGCCAGCTCCACGTTTCGGTCTTGTTGAATTTCTTCAACTGTAATTACCGATCCGGGTACATGATTGCTCAAAGTTCTGTAAATCATGATCAAAAATACTTTAATATTACTTTACCTTGATTATAAAATTTACTTTCAATACCTAAATTTAAAGTATCCAATAACGATCCAGCAGGTGGAATATTCTCGCTCGAATCGCTGCTTTCTTCTTCGTCCGATGAAGAAGTGACAACTCCTCGTCCGATACTGGATTCCATTTGGGGCTTTCTTTTTTTACTCCTCAGTCGGCTTTCTTGCTCAGCTTCACTCTCCAAATTGGATGTTTCCTCGGCGACGTGAAGTTTTTTAGTTGCCACGTCATAGTCATCTAAAAATAGATTTACAACGAAAAATTATGACTAGAAATTATGTACGAACGAATAATGCGTCATATTAGAACTTAATTGAACTTACCATATTTTCCAATAATCCTCGAGTATCTAACTTTCTCCCAGTTTACAGTTTACAGTTTGCAATTGCACTGCCCCTTTTTATCAAATTTCGAATATTTGGACCTGAGTTTGGTGGCCAAAGACAAACTTTCTCGGTGGGGATAATTCAGTGGCTTGGAACTAGTTCTACAGGTACTGAGTTGTCTTTATCAGGGGGGAATTCAATTATGGAATACTTTTTTGACATATTTCGCAACAAATTTAATAAGATTTATTAAGGGAGAGTAATGAGAGGTGGTAAGGCGAGGAAGTGCCACGATGCATGATATGAACCTTGCCGCGTTATGTGTATCGTTTTCCCCACCATGCACTGCACATATTTTACGTGATTTTGATGTATAAATTTCATGTGGAATGTGCAAAGATTTTGGCTTGTTTTTTTACGCACTATTCATGTACCTTTGTGTGTGATATTTTTTCAACCGAGGGTTGCACTCTTTTAACGCAAATATAATGCGTCGTATAATTGATACGAAGCGCTGCGCAAAATTTGCGTAATATTCATGCACTTTTTTCTTGGTAAATAATTTTCACCATGGTTGCTTTATTTTTACGTAAAAGTAATAATTTTTGTTGATCGGGTATTTTTAAACGAATAGTAGGTCGATGCCTCCCCAGGGTCTGGCGCCACGGTTAAATTATACTTTTCCGAAACTGCCGCTAGTTCACAGAATTTGGGAGCTGTTGAATCAGCATGCCTCCAATTGATTAGGGCACAAGTTCCGTTCGTTGAACCCATCACTAGGACAGAATATTTGTTCATGTCCCTATTTTGAACGTCCCACGCGTGACGGAGATCTGAGAAGGAGGCGATCTCCAGTTTTGAAAATGTGATGGGAGTACATGTCAAGCACGGGAGTAGGAGAGGTTTACTTAGATTGTCCTCGAAAATTATTAGTTTTGTTCTTCCTAGTAACTTAGCAGCGCGTTTGAAACATTCAGCATCACGGTGGGGCAATATGAGACCGAAAATGCAACCATGTCAAAATACAAGGGCAAGGGAGAGGATCAGGTATTCACACTTTGACATTCCAATTAACGATGAAATTCTAGGGGACGTTTGCAGTCGGACGAAGATGGAATTTGTT